AGAGAGTAATCATTGAAGATATATTTTATGTGAATAGATACTCAGTAAGACTTTGGTTGAAATTCAGATTACACTTCTTAAAGCGATAGTTAGATGTTATCGGATATTCAATATATCAAGTATACCAGTAAAGTATTACCAAGTAAAGTGAATTTAACTGACACCGAGTTTAAAATTGCATCTCAGCAAAATATCATTTTACCTAACGTTAGCTTACTATAAAGAAATAGCATTGAATGGAATTGAGCAAGATCTTACTGTAATTTGTGTGATTTAATAATTAATATTTAATATAGAGATATATTTAATTTATGTTAATGATATTGTTAAAGAAAATTTTACAAAGAAAAAAAGTATTGCCAAATTATTTTACATTTATTATAAATTTCATAGTTATTTAATATAATATATTTTTTTAAACAGCCTGCGAGTCTAGCACCAGCCTCACTAACAGAAAGCGCCGTACGTCGTTTTGAAGAGTGTAATTCGAAACTTGTGAGCTGGGGTCCATTGCAACAAGTAGAAACATTAAATGCACAAAATAGGTTGAAAGTTATGACAGCCTTACTTTTTATTTATAATCAACAACTTGGATATATAAATAAATTTGCTCTAGAACAATTGTGCAAGGTTGCAACAAAGTAAGTTCGACTGTAATTCTTAGCTATAACGAAGCTGTTTTATTTTCGATTGTAATGTAATTTTTTTCTATTACAGACTTGTTACTCAAGGATTTATGAAACCAGGACATCATCAACGTTCCTCATATGGCAGTGAGTCTAGCTTTGTCCCAAGGCTTTTACCACGTATACCAGTATCCAGCCAATTCCTCTTGGAATTTTTGCATGCTGTATATTTTGCCATGTATGTAATGTATGCATTTTGCGAATTTAACAGCATTTTAGTCTGTTATCTATATATTTATTATTACATATTTTAATTAATAATTACATCGATTCTGGCGAGCATAGCATTACGATGAACTAATTTGCTAGCATTCCATCTTCTATAAACATACATATTTTTTTTCTCTATAGTACATGAATAATATTCTTATTTGTAGGTATAATGAATGCTGGTATGTAGGAACTCAAGCTATAGAAGATATTCATAACAGAGCATGTTATGAAGCATATCCAAATGTAATGTTAGTTACCAACGCTATACGCAATTCTGCCAGTTCTGGAGCACCAGGTAATTGTTATTGTAGAAACAAGCATATAATGCATGTATTATTTATTTAAGCTAAATATGGAAGTAAGATGTTGCATAAAGATATTTTATAATCCTTTTTTATCCTTTGGTCATTTAGGTCAACCGAGCGATGGACCAATTGGAATTAGTGTTGCATTGTCTCCAGCAACTACTACACCAACCATTTCGAAGTCTATGATCACAAATGCTTCCTTTCGTACTAAGAAAT